ATGATTTAAACTTTAATCAACATGTAATTTCAAAAGACCACCGGGCCTGAAATGGATCCCTGAGGAACTGGCATTACAGCTCGTGTGTGATGTAGCCAATGCTCCCTAAATCCTAACATTGTAAAGTAGCTTAATGGTAAATCATCTGAGGCTCCACATTATTAGCCCTGCAAAGCAAACTTTTTAAATGCCTGAAAGCCATAAAAAAAAAAAAATACAAAAACAAATGAACTGTAGCTGTTTTACATAAAACACAGCATTTAAAAAGAATACAAAATCGGAATACTCTCAGTGTGACCTTAGATTATCAGTGGGAAGTACACATTGGAACCAAACATCTTCCATTTAGGAGTATATACAAGGTGTGGGGGGTTATTTATGAATTCACTTCTTATTCGTAGGGAATGTTTTTTAATTCAACTCGTAATAAATGATATCACATGACGGCAGATGCTGTGTTGGCGTTGTACACTGACATCCACAACCTCCATTTATCGTCTGCTGCCTCATTTGCAAATCAAGGCGTACTGTTTAAAACCTTTCTGTGCATAAGACAACAGAGAAAATTAGAGAGCAGCATGTGAGCGACCTTGAAATATATAATATACGATGCATATAAATACACACAACAAACTGAGACGAATAAAAGGTTAGAAAGAGACTTCAAAGTGTTTTGTGTGCTGACTGTATGTTGACCCTATTAAACACAGATACTGACTGACAGCAGCTTTCACCACTAATCAACACATATATATATATATATATATATATACATATATATATATATACACCGGCTACTGTCATGGACTTTTCAGTATTCTTTAAGTCATTTGTCTATTTCTTCAAACGTTTTTGCTCCAGTGTCTAACTGAGCTGTAACTAAATGCAATAACAGAGTGTCTACGTTCTCCTCTGTTTAAGAAAAAGAACCTTGTAAATAAAGAAGGGAACCATCCTCCTTAGTGCAGCATGAATCAAAACACAATCCAGATCGGGCTGGAGGAAGGAACAGATCAAGGTTGACGTTGGCTCCTTCTCGCTGTTCGCCTTTTTCATCTTGAGCATGTGGTACCAGCTTGACATGAATATCGATGCCCTAGAGAAGGGGATCCCTGCTGTGTCAGTGTTGGTAATACAGGATTATATTTAAAGAACACATCTGAAGCATATTTACAACACTGATTAGAGGTAGAGATGATAATAGAAAGTTGTTTCCAGGTTTTGTTTTTTCTTGATACAAATCAATTCAGCTGCTCTGACCAGGAACTGTTGTGGGATGGAGAAGGGAGTCCCTTGTGATCGACAAATGTGTCCCTCCATCTCGTAGAAACCAAGGTCCAACGGTGACTTCCTTCCCTGCCCAATGTATCCCAGGATTCATTGCCTTTCAGTGACAAACCATTTTTTTAAAGCAATAACGGCGCAGACAATCGACAAGATGTCTAATGCTTGAGTATCGGGCTTCAAACCAAACACATAATAGCACAAAAAAAACGGTTAAAAAAAGAAGGAGCATTTAGACTTTCTTGGTGTGTCCAATTTCAGATCTGTTGCTAGGCAACAGTAATAAGGGCTGAACAAGCTGGTGACTTTGATCACATAAATCATCTGTAGACCACAGCGGCTCACTCGGTTCAGCGTTCATGATCTAAGAGGCCCATGCAGGAGCTGGTCTTCATGGGCCGCATAGACCACGTCCTCCGAAGGATGAAGCACGTGGCTGATATGTAGGATAAGGAGGGCATCATCAGCATATCGAGATAAGTGATGTTATCAGGGTGATGGATGAGAGGAAAAAAAAAACTGTTGATGTTTTGAGGGGAGAATAAAGAGACCCTACAGGCCTGGTTGGATATATCGCTACTGTAATCACCACCAATATCTGCCAAAGGCCCATTCCACCTTTGTCACAGGTTCAGGGTGTTACTTAACCTTGCTAAGCCTAAGTAGAATGAGAGTGAAAATGATAATTGAGTGGCTTACAGATGAGGATCTTGGGTTAATGGGTGCTAAATGATCATCTAGGAGGGAATAAATGAGTCTGAATGGCTGAGTAGGAGATGGTGGATAGAGGATATTAGTATCATTATTATTGGATAGTATGGTTGCTGTTGGCATTTCCATAATTAAAGTTGTGGGTTATTGCTCTAAGGGGGAGATCCTCCTCGCTGGCTGAGCTATTAAGCAACCACTTCTAATTAAGAAGCAAAGTTAAAAAGCTCAACCCATGGATGGATTTGTTTTGAAGCCGCCACACCTTTCCACTTTGCCTCCTACATTTGGAAACCCATAAAATGTGTTTTTCAACTTGTAGCCATTTTGTATCCATTAAAGCTCCTGTGCGTCATTCCTCTCAGTGGTCACCTTGTCCTACGTTGTCATATCTTATGTCACAGAGAATATTTCTCCGAGCTCCTCTTTACTTTTTGAGCATCTGGCATAAAACACAAGCACCTAACATACATGACACATGAATCTGTTGAGCCTGAACTGAGGAGAACGTGGAAATATGTGCCAATGCTTTAGATAGTGCTGCAGAGGATCACACAAACCGCTGTGATGTTGTGTATCGTTGAGGGTGTATTAAACCGAACCCATCTTTTCCTCATGAGAATCCAGCTTGTGTTCGGTTTGCAGAAGGAATGCACCCAATTTTTTAATCCTGATGCCTGGATACCTGGGCAATGTGTATCACACAATACAGAGCACCAATGTGGTGCCAGTGTTTATTCATGAATTCACTCAAAGCCCATGTGACCCAGTTTTCCACCTGCACATAAACACGCATGTATTTGAGAATCTGTGATGACCTGGAGACCCTGGAAAGAAAAAAACAAACCTGATCCACTGTACACATTAACATTGTGCCTTTTCAAGCTGCCTGCTTATTATAGATGTAAGTCAGTTGTTGCAGACGGTTGAAACCAAGTGAATAATACGCTGACAACATTGTGCTGATAAAACGTAATTTTAAAGTCTGTCTGGATTAGTCCCTTTTAGATCCTGAACATCTGATGTAGATTCACTCCCACTGACCCTGATTATAACTTTACTATACCAAACAATACTATACTACACTATGTACAGTTAAACTATGATTCCAATAAATAAAAACATCAGCAAAGCTTGAGCGTCTGTTCTTTCTGCAGCTTGTGTGTTTTAGAAATTCTATTATCACACCCTCCATCTCTCCCATGCTTTTATTTTCACTTGTAAAGAGCAGCATCTACTACTCTCATCACATCTTCCCCAATCTCAGTGTCTCTCCCCTGGTTTCAGAGGCTAAAAGTGATTTTAGAATCAGTGTTGTTATTGATTGCCTTAAAACCACAACAAAGACATGGTTTACGTGACATGCCTTTAAAATCCATAGGAGCGATAACTGCAGCCTGAGGTGTTTGGCCGATTATTGCAGAATATTGTCTCTATCAGAGAGAAAGAAAACAAAATATATTTATAAATTGAATTGTAATAAATATTCTGTTATTTTAATAATAATCCAGATTCTTATGTCATACGATGACAAGCAGGAAAGGATTTACTTTCTCGAAATCTCAGGTATCAGGAAGAACATTTCTATTTCTTTAGCTGCTACTTACTCTGCTATGTACAAAGACCATATACTAACCTTGTCCAGGTTGTGTGTGCATAGTTTTATGTAGCACACAGTGGTATCATAGGGGCTTTTTGTACTGAGCTGGACCCTGATGCTGATGAGAAGACATCAGGTTGAGAAGAGGGGATGAGCCGAGTTGGTGGGATGATTCTCTCTGTGGGTTTGTCAATAAAAGAAAACCCTTATGGATAATCATTTTATATATTATCAATTAAAAAAAAAAGATAAGTTCACCTTTAAAAGAAGTAAATTCAGTGTCACCAGCTGAAAATACATAATTGCTAAATGACCAGACTTTAAACTTCATCCCACAAAAAACATCTCAACCATTAAAGTTACTTGAATGTAACATCTAATCATAAGCTGGTCGACCAAAATACATCATTCTGGTGAGCAGCCTCCAGATGTTTTTAGTTTCTTTGTCAGTGAAAGTCAGCATATTTTGTTAAATATGCCGATTTGCTTTCCTGCTGATAAACTGATGAGAACATTGACGCCACTCTCATGTCTGACAGTTAATTGTGAAGCTAGAGCCAGAGAACAGTGAAAAATGAAAACCTGACACTTCATCAGCACCTCTAAAGGATCCAGATGTGTTTAACACTCGTATTTATTCATCACTTTTAACAGTGATGTGCTCACAACTGAAAGTGACACTATTCAGGTTCTCATTCATGGAAATGCTTTTTCCATGAATTGTTTTTGGGGGCGTGTCCATGGTACAAAGATCATGTGACTGCTGATTACCTCAGACAAATGGAAAACTCTTAAAAAGGAGGAGATGGTTTCACGGCAGGAGTTTTATGATGCAGTCTTTTGTCAGAGGAAGGTAAGACTGGTCTCTATCTTTGCTGGAAATAACCTTTAACCCTCTGATCGTCTAAAACAAAGCTTCACGATCAGTTTGAGTTGAACTCTGTATTTGGAGTGATTCATGGTGCTGTCACAAGTTCCCTCTTGTGTTAGTTGAGTAAGGTTTTGGTTAGTTGGTAACGACAGGTGAAACCTCCTGACAATGTTGGATAAAAGGATGAAATCATCAGAAGTTTAAAAAATTTTAAGATGCAACATCTGAAAGACCCTTTATTAAAATGTATTATTAAAATACTATTACAGAGGCTAATGTGTCACTAATAGTTATTCTGGGCTAAACAAACATTTTCTAAGCTGTAGCTGACAAATAAATATGAAAAGCTATCAATCCTCCCATTTAAGTTGAGGCACACGTGTGACACTCTTCCTGTAATTTACTACAATTAGACTTGACTTGTAAATATTTAAAGAACATATTCCCATGGTAACACTTGTGGTAAATGTGTGTACAAACACTTTCACTACAGGAACGAAGGCCACTTCAGTAAACACAATCTGCAAAACAGCGCTGTGGGAATTTTCAGTAACGGCTTTATTAAATTAGTGCAAAAGACAGACGTAACTCATTCAAAATGTCAATTTTTCTTTAAGGTGGTCTTCCACATGAGCGCTAGAGAAAAAAGCGAGACTATCCACCAAAACCACAGCCTTTGTTTTCTTCTTACACATCTTCTTGTAATGAGCGATAGAGCGAGAACAGGAGAGGGCAGAACCGATGGGAGACAAAAATCGAACCTAAACACGTTGAAGTCATCAAAAACAGACTCAAGTAACATGGTCTCACAGGTTTAAAAGTAAAAAAACAACCAAACATAAGAAAAATATAACATGTTACAATAAAATAGTCAACACATCAATAGCATTAGAAATATTTGCCTAAAATCCACAGAAAAGGGTTCTTCTTTTTTATTTACTAACTGTGTTGGTGACCAAAGAACTTGCAATCAAAGTACATAAGTTAATCATTACTGTATATTTATACAATGGTAAAAAATAAAATTTTTATATAATAGTAATTTTTTTTTGGGGGGGGGTTACACCGTTACTATAAAGATATACTGTTTTCAACTCCATGACAACTAATGCAATAAAAACAGAAGCAAATCGAAGAAACGACTCCGGAGAGTTTCAGACTTTTGAAGGCTTATGGCTACCACCTTGTCCTAAAAGACCACAACCACTGCAGACAAAGAAAACAGACTGTTCTTTCCACTTAAAGAGGGAAACGAGATCAAACACAGTCTGTGACGAGAGAAGAAAAGAACACATCAAAAGTTGATGCTCTTCCCCGACCAGGACCGTAGCTCAGCCTCCGCAGTATTTTCCTGGCCCACCGAGAGACAGAGAGCAGTCGATAAAGAGACGGGGGAGACGGGGACGGAGAGGCAGAAAGATGGTGGGGACGATGTCTACTCTTGGAGTGGGACGACATGAATGACGGGGCAGAGAAAGAGAGGTAGTTATGATGAAAAAAGAGGGAAGGAGGAGAAAAAAAGAACACTGGAAATGGGGTGAGAAGATTCAGAAAAACTGGTGTTTTGAACATGAGACAGATTTACAACTTTTGTTTTGTTACAATATCAATATACACGTTGTTTCAAGTATCTCCTACGGAGGTGGGATGTTGCACTGAACGCTGCTGACACCCAGTGTTTGTCTGCCTGTGTAATGATGCGTCCAAAAGGGAATAATCAATGACGGGCGGAGAGGTTGAAGAGAGGAGAGACAGACCGAGGAAAAACGTCAAAATAGGGTAAAAAGAGATGAGGGGAAACAAGACTGACGTCGGGCATGACGGGTGCGAAAAGAAAAGAAAAGATGAAGAGAAGCACATGAGTGGCGAGAGGATAAAGTGAGACAGTGAAACACAGAGCGGTGTTTTGTTCGGCGATCTCGCCGGAGGGGGATTGCGTGTATTTTCTTGTTTGATTTGTCGTGGTGAGAAGACGTCTTCTCGCTTCTTCTTCTTTTTCATCATCATCATCATCATCATCTTCTTCTTCTCTCCTAAGCCTGGGTTGCGAGGGGGAGACAAGTCGTTGCTTTTCAGTGTTGCGAAAAGGACTAGAAGAGGTTTCAGCAGAATCTACAGGCCTGGATGGTCCAGAGAAGAGGAGGAGGAGGAGGAGGAGGAGGAGGAGGAGCAGGAGGAGATGGAAAGAAAGAAGAGGAAGAGGAGAGAGGACATTGTAAAGTCAAGGTCATCGATCAACTGCAATCAGTCACACAGGACAAGTGATGGTAACTGCGTCATTAAAGACTCAGTGAGGACAGAACAGATCAGTTATAATCATTTGCTTTTAGGCTGCAGCAACTAATTGTCTTTAATGTGACGGTGCAACCATGAGACTGTGTCGGTCTGAGCAGCTCTCGCTAATGTCGGAGCGGAGAGAGGTGCGGCGTCTTTCTGATTTATCATCAGGAGACACTTTCTGCAGAGTTCACTGTGAAGATGAATAGGCTAATGACAGGTACTTGTAGAATACTTAAATTTTTACTCCAGTACCAGTTCAGTTTATGGTAGCAAAGACAGCTCAGAAGCAGAAAATACGGCCATGTGCTCAGCAAATTAGCCCGGACTGAACTCGCCACTTATTTTCGGAGAGGACAGTCTGTTTCTATTCACACGGCGTAATCTCTACAAGAACCTGCGAGCGTGGAAGCGTTGCAGAACATATGTTACATTTGCACCGATGCCGTGTTGCTCCAGAAATTTGAAAAGGTGCAAAGGGAGAAAAAAAAGAAAGAAGTGTAAGGTAAAGTCTGTGGTAATGTGACAGTTTGTCCCATCAGTCTGGTGGAATTGCTTACAATGACCCGCCTCGAAAGTTGATATAAAAACACACACATAAATACAGCAGGGACACACACACACTCACACACACACACACACACATAGCAGTATGAAATGTGAGAGTTTATTGATTGCCTCTCTGCCAGCCATCTCCCTCCCAGTCTACTCTCTATTTCTGACATGTTTGGAGATGGCTGAGCATTTGACAGAAACCCTCCCCACTCGTTCTCGTCATTTTGCTCCCTCCTTCCCTCCCTCTCTTTTCTTCTCATCCTGTCTTTTTTCCCCACATCTGTTCTGATATGACTGGATTAGATGAGGCGCTTTGGGACCTCTGCTACATCCTTAAACTTCACTTAAGAACAAAGCACGTCCAGAAGTGGAACAAAACGGAAAATATTTAAATGTGGTTACAGAGGTGGGTCCGGTTATTACTAAAAAATGTTCACTGCGAGTTCGCCGAAAGGTCATCTCGCTTCTATTAAATTCAAATTGCGCTTCACTGTGGATATGAGCACTTCACCACATTTACTGCACAGTTTGCAGAGTTAAAGGCAAATCAAGGTCAGGCAATCAATGCCGAGACCTTTTGTGCCACAGAGGATCACAGAGCACAGATTCTCTGTTTTAATGTCTAGATTAACAGAACGGTAAGATTTTAAATCACTGCAGCACAAACTAATTCTCAGCTCTCACTCGTTGTACCACTCCTCTAATCCACTTTTGGTGTAACAGTTCATTATGAGCCCTCACAGAAGAACACGAAGAATCCATTGATTCCCAGATTCTTAATAATTAATTTAATTTAAATTAGCATTTTCTGCTGAGATACAGTGATGTACTGATCTGCTAGATAATACACAACAATTACTTGTATGGCAAAACATACTCCTACTGTACTACATTTTAAGGCTGCGAAATTAACTGAAAAATGTATCGAAACCAACATTTAAAGCCTCGGTTAATATTTTCCCCGATGAGTGCATATACCATGTGGTCATTACAATTTATTATTATTGATTATTTAGGACTTTATGTCTTTAGCACAATCTACCATGGCAGCCCTCCCAGGCGTAGTCGGACTGGCCATCATGGATCAGCACCAGGAATATTGGGTTAGTCTGTCTGTGGGCCACTGGAGCATCATTTTGTTTTTGGCTTGATCAGCCCACAAATGTGTCTTCCGCCAACTTTGATTGCGCACCAGTCCTCACCCTGAACAGTGCTTCAAATTCACAATGAATGAGCTTATACCATGCAGGACTGAATCATGGTGCCATAGCCAGTTGCACTGTGGACCGATTACGCACCAGCCCGTACTCCTACGTGTTCTGTGACGCAACACTGGACTAAGCAAAGCTAAACTAAACAGGTGTGAGAAAGTCTAAGGCCATTTCTTGGGTCCCAGTTCATTCTCGCTGATTTTACAGTTGAAATCATTTACAGTTTTAAAACAAAGAGTCGTTACATTGCTCCACTTCTGTTGTACTCCGATGTAAAGACTGTGAATATTTAAGTACAACTCCTCCGTCCACAGATGCGATGGTTACAGTGAAAAACAGATCAGGTGCACCATAAGCAGTCTGCTCTACTTAACAGGCTTTCCTTAAAGCCTCGCCTTTTATTGCTAATCTAGCCACATGCGTGCAGCAATATGTGGTGTAAAACAACCAATTTGGAGGTTGCAATTTGTCACAGCTACTGTTTGTTTGCAAAGGCTTTATTGTTCCCCTCCGTCGTATTGTGAGCACATGAGTGGGCTGCCCTGTTTCTCCCTCAGCTGTGGTCACAGCTCTGGCGTGCCTTCTGTAATAAGTTGGCAGTCGGTATTATTCAGAAATACCCGTCAAGCGATTCGACTGCTGACATGCCAATATGTCTTTCTATGTTCTTTTCTGTCTTTATCCTCCACCATCTCTGCCTCTCTGCATCTCTCACTCCACATTTCTCTCTATGAGATGAGGGAGTGGTCTTGAGGAATGTGAACTATAATTTTCTGAGACATTCAGAAATGAATTGGACTATACACTTCAGAAAATTCCGAAGCGATCGAAGCTTGCCTGAATGGGGGGTGAATATCTAATAGGGTGGAGGGAATGGAGCGGGGTTGGGTTGGAGCAGATTGATTTTTATTTCACTAATGTTTTTTCTTCCCGCTTCAGGAGACTCAGGCCTGAGTGTTTCCTAAAAAAGGAAATAAAAGTGGAACACTCAAAGACTCACACATTTTTTTACAAATCTAATGAGACTCTGGCAGACATGTTTCACCTCACCTAAAGAACTGGATAAAAAAAAAAAAAGGATTTCTGCCCCTCTGGCTAAAAATTCAAGGCCTAGACATGGAAATACATTCCCGAATCAATTCACCTCGGCTCTCGCGCCGACACAGGGGATGAACTCTTGGGTCAGGAGCAGATGAAAGAGGGAACTACGTAAGAAGAAGAGGGAACAAGCCAGAGAGGGACGAACAGAATATAATCACTATGGGTTGGGAATAAATCACTTTATGTTACAGGAAGCAGAATTCACGACTGTATAAACCTTTTAGTCTTAAGTACCTTTGAGTACAGACCGGCTAAATGGAGCTGAAGTCCCCTGAAAAGGACATTAGCTCCCCGATAATGCTCAGACGACGGGAGTTTTAAAAATCTAACCAAATTTCAAATCAAGTTGCATCGTGACCATGAGGAGAATCATCACAGACATATTTGCGCATCACACACTACAGGATATAATTAAGATTATTTCTCCAGGGACAGTGAGACACCACCACATGCTTCTCATGATGTGGACAAAATGGAGAGTGGCGTGGAGCGACAACTTCCTCTAATGTCGAGGAACAAAAGCAGAAGGCGAAACGAGTCAATACACGTTATTTATTTTCAGGTGAGATTTAAACGTCTGTTATAATATCTGTCAACAGTAGCATGAATGATTGTGGTTGCTTGGCAGAACAGTGAGCTGCTACACACTCTCTCTCACTGGCTGTTGTGGTTCCTCTCGGAAGATACTCACGAAATCATACCAGATAATTTAAGCCGAATATTGGCTGTCCATTTTTGTTACAGGTTCCCAAAAAATATAATAATAGTAAAAAAAAGATGCGTCATTGTATATATAAAGTATTAATATGACATCTTATCTCACCCGTCTACTGGTTGGAAAAGGTCCCATTCTAAACCTAAAGTTTGTGTTTAAATGCAATTGTAAATATAAACCATTTCATTTTTCTCTCATATTCCAGCACTGCATGAAAAACACTGACCTGTGCAAGCAAATGAACCTATTTCCATTTCACAGCGACTCAAACTTCCTGTCACTGTGAATATCAATGACCTGACAGTCATTTCCGATGCCAACGTATCATTTTGTCGCTACTTATTGTAAGTCTCTCTGGGTAAAAAGCACCAGCTTAATGAGGGGAAATTTGGATTTAACAAGCTGCAGGAGGCGAGGTAGAATCAGACGGGACACTGGAGGGAACAGTAACTGTTTCCCAGCCATTCTAATTGCTGAGAGGAGCGAGGGGGACAGATGATTTGCCCAGGTATGTCATGGCAGCGAGACGAAAACAGCAGCGTTGCAGCATGAAGATGAAGTTAGAGAGGAAGATGGAGACCCTGACAACACAGAGAGGTAATAACCAACCCAGACAAATGATGATGAAGAGACAGTTTTAAAGCTTCTCAAATCACTTAGCACACAGAGTACAGTTTATACATGAATGTACTCATACTGCAGTAAGATATACTCTTTGGCTCATACTACTCTTGCATCCCAAATTTTAATTTGGGTGCAGTGTGTAGTACTGTAGTAATCCCAGATTCTCATGTGGGATTCAAAATGCCTTTCCTCAGAGTAGGATGGAAAAATGATTGACCATCTTTACTAAAACAATGTGAATGTATTTGGTTGTAAACAGATACAACAGTTTCTCTTCTTGTTGTATTTATGTCAAACAGCTGACTGCGACATGTCTGCTCCTCCCAGGATTTTGAGCTGCTTTTGCTGTTGCTTGCTGCAAATTAACCAGTTGTAAAACCTTAATGATGAGAACTAAAACATTTGTTGTCATAGAAACATTGATATGAGCTACATGAACAGAAGGAGAGGGAAAAGAATAATAGTGTTTAACAGACGTTGCAGTCAAAGAGCAAACTTATGGTGCCTCAGTATAAAAGTAAATTGTTATAGTTACACGTTTATTTGACATTTATCAATATGTAAGGTGTCCTCAAAGGCTTTAAATGGCCAGAGGTTGGAAATCATCTGTTCATCCATGTTACTTCAACCTCAAGGC